CCCAAAAAACAAAAACGGGTCACGATAGCATCAGGCCGAGGGTCAACGGGGGGGTGGAGGGGGGGGGACTGCTTCGCACCCTCCGCGGCTAGCTAGCTATTTAGCTCTCACCGTGCTATCTTCGCCGTCCGCCAGCGGCCCGAGCTTCTTGATCAGCTGCTGCTGCTGAGGAGGCGGCGGCGGCGTGGTGGTGGTGGTGGTGGAAGCCTTAGCAGCAGCAGCGGCACCATAGGGGTTCGCAAGGCTGGTGGGGGGCGACAAAAAAAAAAAACGTGCGTGAAGAGGGCAGGGCACGGAGTCAGACAAAAAGTAAAACGCGGCGATGGGCAGGTTTGTTTAAGGCGTAGACAAAGGCGTAGACAAAACAAACCGAGGTTCATTGAAACAACTCGAATTGCCATACTGTTTATATTGGGGTACCCGGAACGTATTGCGTACGGCGGGGCCCCCTCGGTCGAGAGGAGGAGTCGCATGTGTTACCATTCTGTTCAAGCCTTGTGTCCACAGAGTCTTAGCGTGACAGAGAGAGAGTATCGCAGAGACAACTAGCGAGGTGGTCACATAGAAGGCTTCTAGTGGTGTGCCAGCCTCTGGAGCTGACAGGAAGTGGAGTCTTTTCCCACCCACCCACCCCTTTTCTTTCGAAGGTGGGGGAAAGGAGAGGACGGATTAAGTATCCGGTAGAACTTGTAGCTGTATGTATGTGAGGCGAAGAAAATGGTAGGGTACCATTTTAGGGACTTGGTCATCTGAGACTACTGTGTGCAGTAAGATTGGTTCCCTCCACCGCAGGAGAGAGCACCCTCAGTTGCTGTTTGGAGGGAAGAGAGAGACAGTCTTTATTGGGAGAGAGGCAGAGGCACGATAGAAAGGCCGCAGAAATGTGTCTGCGGGAAACGTGCTCTCTGCCAGTTTGGTATCTCTCTCTTCCCTCGGGCGGTAAAAAATATTGATAAATGCAATTCGAAAGAAAACAATAAAATCGGAACTAAATTGCCTAGGGTTGACGAACCTCCTGGTGGGGTTAGGGATGGCGGAGAGTGTGCGATGGTGATGCTACAAGTCTTGTCGATTTCGAAAGACTGTCTCTGGAAGTGAAAGCACCAGAAAATAATAAACTCATTCGCTGCTGTCTTCAGTGTGCAAGGAAGTAAGCACAAGGTGCCGAACACCCTTAGCACGATGCAGCGCATCCTCCAAGCGACTCGCCGAATACCTTACGGCCTTTCGGGCTCGAGCCTGGTCCGGTGAGAACCCGGCGTGCTATTATATGTACATCCCGGCTTTGGAGGGATGCGAGGCCAATGGTCTAACGGCTACGGCATGCACGGCTTTGAGTACACCCCCCCCCTCTCCTCTCCCTCTCTCTCTCTCTTTCACACACACACACACACCGACATGCTTACCCTCCACGATTCTCGACGGTGTTCAGACAGCCCTCGCACTTGCACCCTGCCCCACAGAGCAACGACTTCTGGAAGCAGACGCAGTACCTGGGTTGCGGGCGCAAAAAAAATCGAAAGGAATCAAGGCAGTCAAGAGGTGGAAGAGAGAGACCTCGTGCGGCTAAAAAGCGTTGAAAGGTTGAACGGGGGTGTCCATGAAAAAGAAAAAAAAATCTAGGGATACAAAACGCCTGGCACGGTTGAGGCCTAACACGCCCAAACGATCCGTGCGAGGCAAGCGACGAGAGAAACTATGCGCGACTGTGACACAATACCCTCCCCTCGACTAGTCCAACACTGGAACAAACCTTGGGCTTGAACGTCGGCACGAAAGGCGCCATCACAAAGACGACATCGTGAAGACAAAACAGCAGCAAGCAGGCCAGTCAACTTCTGGCTGAACGTGGCTGCCGGGCCGGACGCCGTATCAAAAACACAAGATAGCACCGGTACCTGCAGCGTGCTGCCTGCCGCAACGAAAGCAAAGCCATCGAAAAAACCCCAACCTACACCACCGTCCAGCAGCACCCTGCTGCCTGCAGCAACTGAAAAGCAGGCCATCAAAAGCTCAACCGTAGACACAAACTACGACTATGACTACCGTAGAGGAGCTCACTTCTTGAGGCAGTGCGACCTGGTGCAGCCGCAGCCGGCGCCGCTCGTGACTGACCCCGGGCGCGTCTCCAGGCTGTGAGCACGGTGGAAAGCATCCGGGTTGCGCTCCAGGACAGCCCTGGCGTCGTGGTCAGTCAGTCGTTTTGTCACAAGCAACAACGCCAACACCGGGGCATCCATATCGGGGGGCGCGAGCGGCGCGCGTGAACACGTCGAGACAAGAGGGGGGCGGCACAACAAGTCACGCGACACGCACGAACGGGGAAGGTGGCACCACCAACACACACACACACGCACGCACAAACACACACATTGTCACGGCGTGTGAGAGGCCATGTTCGCGTACATATGTACACAGAAGGAGCGTGTCCCGAAAATAGTCGAACGGAGAAGGGCGTTTTTTCATTGGCCAGCCGGTTAGCGCGGTCGACGCCAAATGAGAATAAACACACAAACGCACACAGACTCCCCCATCACGCTCTCGGTCCCGGGGTCCCCAGATTGTGGCCTATAAATTATTTAGATGCATTTTTTGTGTTTTCAACCGCACTGAGACTGACGTCTGTTCATTGGAGGTGCTAAACAACAACAACACACACACACACACACACACACACACACAAACACACAAACACGGGAGGCGCGCATGCACACACGCACGCGCCGCCTGCGCATGCATGTGGCCAACTTACTGCTGCCGGGGCTTGCGTGAACAATAAAGCCGGTAGGGACGGGTTTCAAACCAGAAAACGAGGGCGCATGGTCTCGGACATGGAACTAATATGGGACAGACTTTCACACACAAAGCTGATACAGACAAGTCTCACCATGGAACTAATATGGGACTGATTTTCACACGTGAAGCTGACACAGAAAGGTCTCAACACACATGGAAACTCGAATATGGGACCGAGTTCACACATGAAGCTGATACACAAGAGGTCTCACACACGAAACTGCTACGCAGGGAAGGTTTTTTAAACAACAAACTGATATTACGCGGAAAAATGTTTTCCACATGAAGCTGGGAAGGCATGTTTGTGCGTCTCACCGGCGGGCCGCCTGCACGACAACTGCGCCAAGACGGTTGCAGCACTGCTTGCACAGGCACGCGGACCCGCAGAACCGGCTTTGGGCGAAGCAGTCGCAGTACAGCTTCAGGCACCTTGTTGTGTCAGCAGCCGGGGGAGGTATCGGAAAAGGAGGCATGGTTCGAAGCGAGCATTGCGAGTAGAGTGCGATAGACGGGCATATGGTTTAGATTGCGATCCAAGATATGGCATCAGGGACCCTGGATCCGTTTCGAAGGTGATCTGGGGGGCAAGGGTTCCGCAGCAGCAGGGTACGCGAGCGTTGGATTGCAATGCGGGACAGGGACGGACGGTACGACGGCATTGTTCGACGACGGCCAGTTGAGGAAGAACGTGAGACCACACCGACCTAATCGGAGGCCCCTTCTTCGTCAGCACGAATGCAACGAAGCTCTCCGAGAAAAGAAGGCGTGTTCTGCCAGTTCGCGTCTCTACACCGTTCGCAACAGTGAACCTTAAAAAAATTACAAGCTTAATGCAGAAACATCATTGCCCTTTGTTTGTGGGCTCAAATAGAAAAATCAAGCTAAGCAAATAACCCCGCCCCCCCAAAAAAATCTTAAGATGCAGGCCGGAAAAGAACTTGGAACAATCGTTAAATTTTCTTGGGAGACAACACACAAATCTCTCCGGTAACCGCATCAAACCGAGGTGTAATTCTCGCTGGGTGCGCACTAGCAGCGGTCCATCTATGCCACACGTAAAACACGTACGTCGAACGGCACACAAACAGCAACGAGGGTGAGGGGAACGATAACGACAAACAAGGAGAGAGAGGGAGAGGGAGCCGAGAATCAAAAGCGCGCCACCAAAAACACGACAGCGGTTCGTTCTTTTCTCACCGACACTTCTTGCAGGTGCACGGGTTGTGCTGCTCCGCTGCGGCTGCCGCGCTTGGGGGGGGAGAGCGAGTGTCGTCAACCTTGACTCCCGCCGCCGCCTTCTTCAGCCGCTTTCCCGCCGCCTGCCTCTGGCGCTTTTCCGCCAGGCATCTCGTCACCGTCGCCGCAGCTCCGCTTCTACACCACCCACGAGGCAGCGGGAGGGAGGGGGAGAGTAGAGCATCATCGCAATGCACGTACGGAAAGGCAACAAGCCAAGGCAACCAAGAAGGGGTTGGAAAGGAACTTCAGAGTCCACAAGAGCACGGCAAGTGAGTCACACGCCACTTAACATTTTTTTTTTTTTTTGGGTTAGGTTTAGGGTTAGGGTTAGAGTCCACAAGAGCACGACAAGTGAGCCACACGCCGCTTCCCTTCAACACTACAGACGTTCAATAAGACGGAAAGCCAACGGAGGACAGGCGGCGGGCGCACCGCATCCCCGACCGGCCTCACCCGCCATCGCCGCCACCGCCACCGCCGCCGCCGCCAACCGTCTCTCCGCCATCACCACCGCTCCCGGCGACGGGGCTCCCGACCATCATCTCCCCGGCGAGAGCTTTCCCGTCGGGCCTCGGCCGCCTCCGGCTCCTCCCCCCTCCTCGTCGCGCCGGCCCCTTTCTCGATTCACCGTCGTCGTAGTCGTCGACATCATCCGGGGTTGAAGACACCGAACGGCCGCCACCGCTACCGCTGCCGTCCCGCCTCCTCTTTCTCGCGGGCGCGCCGACCACCACCGCCGCCGTCGCCGCCGCTGTCTCCTCCTTCGGAGTCGGTCCTGCTCCGAGATTGTTGTTGCCGCCGATGCTAAAGCCGTCCATTTCGTCGTCGTCGTCGTCGTCGTTGGAGTAGGAGTAGTCGAAATCGTCGTCGGCGGTCCTCTTGCGGCGGCCTCTCATCGGCCGGGGGTTGTGGCGCATGACGGCAGCCGCGGCCGCCTGCTGCTGTTGGCGGCCGCTGTCAGCGGGCGTAGTCATCGCGGCGGCGGGGTCAGCAGCAGCAGCAGCAGCAGCAGCAGCAGCGTTACCGTCGGCAGCGGGGGTAGGGTTCGATGCTCGCGGGGGCGCCGCGCGAGTGAACGGCGTCGGCCGTCCTACAGCCGAGCAAGCCCCGTCCTCGGCCCCGCCCCCGACATCGCCGGGCCCGGCCCCGCCGCAGACCTCCAGAGTACGCCGGGTCGACCGCGGCTTCGGCGACAGGGAGAACGACGACAGCATCAGCGACAGCGGCGCCGCTCGTCGCTCCTTCTTCCTCTGCTTGGCCGCCGCCGGGGTCGGTGTCGGGGAGGCGGTGGCGGCCATTTGCGAGGCGGCGGCCGGGATAGAGGTGCCGACAGCGGCTCCGATACCACGCGCCGCTGCTGCTCCGGTTGCGGCGGCGGCGGTAGTGGCAGCAGCAGCAGCGGCACTGCCGCTGTCGCCGCCGCCTCCACGAAGCTGCGGCGAGGAGGAGGAGGCAGGCGGCGGCGTACCGACGGCGAGGACGGCGTCTCTAGCGGCGGCAACGGCGGCGAAGGCGGCGGCGGCGACCGGGATTGAGATGGGACCCCCGCTACCGGCGTTTGCTCCGTTCCGAAAGGCCGCATTGGACATCGCCGCCGCCACCGCGGCCGGAGACGACGCATATCCTCCCCCTCCTCCTTCTCCTGCTGCTGCTGCTGCTGCTGCTGCTGCTGCTGCTGCTTCGGGGTGACCGACTACGGGACCATTCCCACTGACGCCCCTTTGCTGCGCGGGACTGGTCGTTGTGCCGCCGCCGCCGCCGCCGTCCGGCGAACCGCCTAAAGCGGTCCTCTTGGCGCTGCTGCGTCCCACGACGTCGGTCATCGCCGTGCTACTGAAGCCACCTCCACCATGACCGGCGGCGGCGGGCGCGGCATCCGTCTCCCGGTCGCACGATACCCGTGTGACTGCAGGTACAACCATAGCAGCACAGGCAACGCTTGGGTCTCCGAGAACAGCGAGCTTAGCTTCCGCGGGAGACGTAGCGGTGGCGGTAGCCAGAGAGGACGACGGCAGCGATGCAGGGTCTTCATGGTGCTGGTTGCCGCCGTCATTGTTCCCGCCATCGTTCATGCCCGGCGGCGCGACCTTCCTCTTGCTTTTGTCCGTCGCGCACACCACGTTTTTCTTGGCCACGTTCTTCTTCGGCTTGGCCTTCTTCTTCTTCTTCTTCTTCAGGGTCTGGCCGCCAACCCCCCCACCCCCATCGCCTGCCGCCGCCGCCGCTGTCGCCGCCACCGCCGCCGCCGTTGCGGCAGGGTTGATGCTGTGCATCGACACGAGCTGCGGCTGCCGCTGCCCATGAGCTACCCCGCCGGCCCCCTTGCCATGCATGCCTCCGGCGCTTCCCCCTTTCGGCAACATCATCGGCATGGGCATGGGCACGGGCAGGATGGAGGGACCCAACGACCACGCCGGGTCTAGGGAGTCATCATCATCGAGCCTGTCGGCGTTTTTCGTTTGGGAGCGGCGGCATCCGGCAGGACATGGGCAGCAGGGGAAAAGGAGGCGTGGTCGAGAAGTTTCCTGAGAGTCTCCTGTTTCGTCGGTAACTTCTGTTCCGTAGTATACGGTATAGCGATACCAGATACTGGTATCAGCCCGTTCTTGCAACCTCGTCACCTCATGATTTCTGGTAAATAATGATTGGTGCGGCGGCAGCACCCGAAGTGTCAAGGTTTACGGGGAAAGAAAGTCCGAAATCATCCCCGCTTGGTGCAAACGTGAACAACGGACCCAAGATCACCGTTGTTGCAATCAAAAACATTCTTGTCGCCGCGTCTCCTCGCGACGTACGTACCTCTGCGACTCCGATCCCTGATATCCGTCCCACCAACCCTGCCCGGGACTAGCGTTGACGTCTCCGGTCCCCCCTCCTCTCCCGTCTGTTCCAATAGGTTCGGGTTCACGCGCCGCTCCTCGCCCCCGCTCCCCACGGCCACCATCAGTGCTCCCGTCGGCATCCCCAGAAAAGCGGGCAACGACGACGCCTCCGCTACCACCGCCGCCGTCTTCGTCTACACCCTCGATATCGCACGGCAACGGCAAGGTCTTCTCGCCTTCGCCGCAGCCGCGGCCACCACAGCTACCGCTGCCGCCGTCGTCGCCGTCGCCACCAACGATCCTGCCGCCGTCGCTGCGGCTTCCGCGACTTAGGCTGTTGTTCTTGCAGCCGCCGGCGATCGGCGAGAGCTGCGTGCCGGCGAAGATGTGGAACGGGCTGAGCGGGGAGGACGGCCGCGAGATCGCCGCCCTCGAAGGCGAGGCCACCACCCCTTCGATAGCGGCGGCGGCGGCGCCGCTGCTGTTGCTGGTGCTGTTGCTGGTGCTGTTGCTCATGCTTGGCGTCCGGGAGCTGGCCATCGCCGCTGCCGCCGCCGCCACCGCCGCCGACGCCGCCGGGCAAGGGTCGCCGCCCCCGCGGAGCAGCCGCCCTCCTGCTCCCGCCCACCCACCCCGCGCCCCCGCCATCATGCGGTCGCCGTTGCAGCTGCTGCTGTTGCTGTTCGTGTTACTGGGTGACAGCGGGCTTACTTGGCTCACCGACGGTGACATTTTGTTGAGGTCCCTCACGTAACTGCTGTTGCTCAAGTTGACGGAGGTGGTGGCTGCCGCCGCCGCCGCGGTTTCGCGTGTTACTGCTGCTGCACGCGGCGGGAATTCTTCCGGTTGGGAAAAAAGAGCGGGGGGGCTAGGCCGGCGGGGTGGAGTGCCGACCTCCGCTACAAGGCCTCGGGGGATTGGTGGCGGGCCGGCGAGGGTGTTCTCGTCCGGCGGAGAAATGTCGACATCGACATCGTCGTCGTCGTCGGCGTTGTAGTCGTTGTTGTTGCTGACGGACGGAAAAGGATAAGACGACGGCGACGCCATGATTCTCCCGCTGATAGATTTCTCACACGCACGTTTCGGTCGGTGGCGTGCCTGCCTCTCTCCACCGCTGCTTTCGTTAATTAACAAGGAACGAGATTGCTGTCGTGCGCGTGTCGCAGAGCACGCTCTTCTCGCCTTGTGCGTCGGTTGGGGGGGGGCGGCCCTGGGGGCTACCGCTGCGGCTCTTCTCGGTTCCCGTTGCTGTGGAGGAGATGACGGTGTGGTGTTGAAGAAGGGACGGAAACGGCCGAGGGAGGTGAGGGAGCAGCGGGCGGAGCGCAGCGGGGGGCATCACCACAATAGACTCAGTACTTGAGCACCGCTGTGTGCTGTTCGTAGTTGATTCCTTCAGTGATTACAATATACTCTCCGCGAACTCGTGGACTTTTAAGGTTCATCTACAAGTGTTGTCTAGATGCGACGGGAGACGGGAGCAATCTCCAATCTTTACTGTGGAGTGACATCACTTCGGGGGGCGAGAGAGTGCCATCTTGCCACAGCACTAGTGTTCTCATGCCACAGCAGAACAGCAGTCGAGGGGGCATCTTCTCTGTTGTCTCTTGTATCTCCGGCTGGACGGGAGATAGATACGCAAAAGATCATGTCACGCATGCGAGGTACGCAGCAACAGCAGCAAGAGCCGGCACCATTTATGATACATAGCCATCTCTTGCTGGTTCCTTCCATCTCCACCAACTACGTAACTTCCTTGCGAACCCGGGTTGGAGCAAGACCACCCTGCTGCCTCCTCTGGAGATGGCGACACAAACAACATGTGTGCTCTTCCACGTCATGCTCTTTCCCAAAATAAAACTCGAGCCTAATTTCTCGGCCCACGAGCTGGCGGCGGGCCACGCTTTTCACCATCATAATTGCGTCTGTACACTGCTCGGCTTCTGCTCCGCACACCTCCGCAGCTGTCTAGTGTACACAGGCAACAGGTTCATTCATAATTTGTGTTCCGTATTTCAGGGAACCACTGCATACCTTGACGGCGCCCAGGCCCCCTGCCTGAGCAACGCGTTGTTTTCCCTCCCGCTCTCTCTATACGCACAGTAGTCGTTGCGCCTCGCCTTCCTCTGCGCTCGTCCTGTTCCTCAATCCAAACGCCCGTGCTTAACGCTGCAACGGCGGCGCTCGCGCACAACAGATAGCGAGAGAAGTTGTTGCCTCAAAAGGGGGTACGCAGTTGCGATTCAAAAGAAGTGTATTACTTGAACGGAGAACCAAAGCATAGCGGGGGGCTATATCCAGAAATTTCAAATTTCAAAATTAGCAAAAATGCCCCCTTTTTCGCGCCAATATTTGCAAGAATGATTGGCGTCTTGCTCATACAGCAGTATACACAGCGAATATTTGCTCACAGTTTAGGCCACCTCCTCATCGGTATGCCCGTGCGTACGCATAGTTTCGCCAGCGAGACCCTTCTCTTCAGTTTGTTCGCGTCGCTCGATCGATGTATTTTTATATTTGCTCGGTCAGACGCCGCCCTTATTTTTGTTGTTCGATCGAAGTAGATCCACTTCACGAAATCACACGCTACAATCCGTCATAATCTTACAACATACACAGACCACAGCAGTGGTGCTACGGGCATGGCGATAATTGCCGGAGCACGGCACGCATCGGCGATGTCAAAATGTGATTTGTTTTGGTTTTGAGGGGTCATCACCACGTGCAATCACATTTATTTTCAGGCTGACGGCCACCTCTCTCATCTCGAGTTTTTGTCATCTTTTTTATTTTTTTGCCACCGTAGGCGCATGTATGTATCGAGAACAAAAATAAGCCGTGTTTCTATAGAGATGTACTCTGTCCCTGTAGATATGATGCGGGTCGCTTACAGGCTCTCCATCCACGATCGTTTGAATAAAAACCGGACGAGATCGGACGCTATCCTATTCGATTGAGCCGCGGGGCTGCGCGGCTTGGAGCTTCGCATCTCAGGCAGGCATGCTGTTCCTTGTTGTTATTCCTGATCTCCCCGCCATTCCACACCCTTCTCTCGTTAAGGCACGCCCGAAAAAAGCTCACAGCATTGCACAGCTCTCAAACCACCCTGAAGATCATACATTCGCATACAAAAATGAAGATTCCATACATACTCAAAACTTGGGGAACGGGTCTAAGGGCATGAATCGAAAAAAGGAGTCGCAGCAACCCGAACCTACCCCACCACCTAATGGCAAACAACGCCGTTCACTCAAGTCTGCAAAATGCTCAAACTCCGGAAGACAAAAGAGAGGGATCTTCCCTCCAGCGTACCGGCCCATTCATACCCATGCGAGAAACACAATCATCGCACAAGAAACCCCGGCGGACTCTCAGACTTGACATGAAACATGGCGCAAGCAAAATCTGTCGCCGGCGCTACAAACACGGAATCCTGTGCTCGCTCCATCATGAAGACACCTGTCTCTGCACGAAACGAGAGCAAACGTGTTCTGCCTAACGCGCATGCCGCGCGCGGCTAAACAGAAGAGACAACAAGCGGCTCAACTCACTCAAAAAAACACCAAATCTGCGTACTTAAATAGCAGACGTCCCGTGTGGTCCGCCGGCCATCTCCACCCGATTCTCACTGGCAAACAGACAGACTTCAGTATTTTGTTGTCGATCCAGACAACAATCCCCTTGCTCCATGACCGAACGAACGGCACTGTCCTATGTAGATACCGCCGAAAGATTTAAGAAGCCAGCACTCGGCCTCTCACCGCACACACCGGCCTGCAGGGTGTTCGCAGTAGCAAACACCGAATAACGGCATGAAAAATGATGTGCGCCATGTGCCAGCCAACGACAGTCTGGGCACCCAAAATCCCCCTCCTCCTCATGGTCGTCTCATGACCCGACATGCGGCGACAGCTTTGCCGCACATATTTGCGATGGAAAAAAGCTACGTAGTCTATGTATTCTAGCGATGCAACTCTTCCATCTGTATCCCCGCCGTCACCGGCGCACTGACTGCGACAAATCTACCTACCTATCTAGCCTTGGCAACGGCGACGACCCCCCTCTCTATCATTGTCTGCTTTATCAGTGCGTGACTCCTTATATGGGGTCACGTTGTTAGCATAAAAGATAAAGAAGGAAAAACGGTGCAGCAATCGTTCGTGGGCGCACACGTGCGTAGAGGGAGAACACACATCGCCCACTGGACCCCGATTCGAAGCGCCCGAGCAAAGAGACGACGAGAGATGCATTGGCTCGGCGCATCACCCCTCTCGCCACACACACCCACCCACTTAACCCCACCGCGCGTGGCATCATACGACTTGCCATTGCCAAGCGCCCTACTACTGCCTCAACCCCACAAAAGCTCGAAGAGAACCAACAAGAAACAAACAAATCACATTTGGTGAGATTATTCCCGACCCCTTTTGGCACAGCGCATCTACAACCAACGTGCCGTTCGCTGATCCTGCCGCCCATGGCATGACACTCCCGCCGCAGAACATATGGCCCAGCGGCGGGTAGTCTCTAAACCAATTTCACGTCATATATTGCCATTTTGCTGCTGATGTTACCGGAAGCATTGAACAAAAAAACACATTCATTCATGAAACGCCCACGCCTTCCATGAATATTGTACTCCACACGAATCTAGAAGTCGTCCTCGTCGTCGGACTGGCAGTCTCCGTAGCGCCACATGTTGGCCCTGCTCTTGTGCGCCAGCTCCTGCGACTCCCTCAGCCGGGCGATCATCTCCTTGGCAAGCTTCATTTCGGCGGGGGCGCGGGGGCGGGGGTGGGGAGAGATTGTGTGGCTTGGTGAGTGGGTTGATGGGTGAGAGCACAAAAAACGGGCCCTCGGGTGAGTGCGACGATAGGAATGTACAAAAAATATACGGTAGATTTTTGATAATCAAATCCAAGAGGCAGAGCAGAGCAGCTACCGAGCACGCTCGAATCTTGGATGCGGGGGGTTTACTGTAGCGGCGCAGCAATAACCAACTACAAACGAGAAGGCAGGACATCGAAAGACGAAACCGGGGAGGTCGGGCGCTGGCAACGGTGCGAAGAATGACACAACGCCCTCATGGAGGTTGCACGAATACGGTACGGTAGTGGGGTGGCGGATACTCTGGTTGCAGTAAAATTAGCGGCAGCGGCGAGTAGCAGCCCCAACAGACAGCTGGGACGAAGCTACATATGATTCATGCATGCGCAACCATTGCAGAGACCAATAGGGAGAGATATTGTAGGCTAAAGGGCGTAGAGAGGGAGAGTGGGGGACAAACACGGCGGGCAGCATCCGTGGGAGCGACGTGAGATGCTCTACGGATGCCATGGATGCGGCTGCGGAAAGGAAGTGAACGTGACGGGCTGGGCGTCGTGCGTGGATGCAGTAAAGGTTTGCTGCACCAACTCAAACACACAACGCACACACTCGCGCGGCCAAAAAAAATCGACAGAGAAAGAAAAACTGAGCCCGGGGGCTCTACAAAACATTTTGGCCCGCACGCGCAAGGGGAGTCCGCCGCCGTAATGCTGGCGTGCATCATTCGATCGTCCACTAGGCGCGGCCGATGTAAACTCGAGACACAGAAGACACACGCAATTAGTACTTACGTAACAGTATCCCGCTAAAACTACTGGCGTTTAATCGGTCAGCTGGTTTGCGCGACTAACAGATGGTACACACCCGAACACACACACATACACACCTGTGACGTGGCAAGCTTGTCCGCGTTGCTGGCGATGCGGGCCACTCCCTGGGCCACAAGCGTCTCGTTCAAGCTTTCAGAGTCCTCCGACTCGTACAGCGCCATCATCTATACGGGCGGGTCGGTTCATCACGATCACACAGCAAGGACAACGATCATCGTCACACAGAGAAACATCGACAAGCAGGAACCGTTCAAGTCAAAAAATGACCGGCTTCATCCCAACCAATCCGGTCGTTCATCCTGAGGAGGAGACCGATCACGCCTGGCCAGCACGTGACTGGCATTTTCGGGGGGACATGCGGGCTCGAAAATCTCCCAAATGTACAACTCCGGGCGTGCCGCCCGTAAACAACAAACGCAAGCAAAAATCTTTGCGGAAACACTTTCAGTCAGAGAGAACCAACCGGTGCTTATTGGGCGGTTCTCTCTGAAATTCTCTTGCGCACGCTTGGACCACCACCCCCGCCGCCGCCACCACCCCTCTACAGCGCCCGCCCAACGGCATCAACAGTAACGGCAGTGGCCATCAGTCTCGAGTTAGTCTCATGTAGCGATCAGACGCCAGATGACGACTCCTCGGGCCACGGCAAACACCACGGCGCGTCGTTGTCACGCAGGCACTCCTGTCTAAACTAAAAAAAAAAAACGTCCGTGTGATCGTACTCGACGCCGCACGCACCAGCCGGCCATCCGCATCCCTCCCCAGGGCGCGGCCAAGGAGTTCCTTGCCCCATCCGAGAGCGTTGAGGCCCATGGCAGCGTCGCGCCCGAACTCTTCCTCCAGGGAGGGCACACGCATGAACGCCATCACGCACTCTCTGGCAGTCAGCAGGAAGGGAGGGACATACGGTTTCCGGGCGAAGGGGCCATATACATCCATCCAACCAACCCATCGGCTTTCCAGGCACAAAAAAAGTTGCGTCGCGCCGACAAGAAGCGCGATCGAATCGGTCCACGGAACGAACAAGTACCAAAGCCGAAAAACGGCCATGACCACCTCCTTTCAGTCGGAGTTGCTTTCACCCGCGTGTCCAATATCTTTCTATTGAAGAAGGAATCCACACGCGCATAAACGGGGCCGAAACTCGCTCTCTGTGTTTCACGGGCAGACGCCCACGAAAAACAATACCATGACACGAGCAACACAAAGGTTAGGGCAGAAGCAAAAAAAAAACGGGAGGAGGGTGGGGGGCGGAGGCGGGGGCGCCACAGAGTACCATGTCGGGGGGACCCACCACCCACCCACCCACCCACCCACCTGGCCTGGGGCCGGAAGGCGAAGTAGGACGAGTCGAGCGGCCGGAGGCTGGAGGACTTGACGGTGGCCGTGTTGCCGTGGTCCACGTACAACACCCTCATGCCCACGGGGGTGGAGCCGAGCACCTTGGCGCGGTACCAGGCCGGACCGTTGCCGTCGTCGAAGAGAGCAGCGCACAGGGTGCCCCGCCGGGGCTCCATGGTCGCGCCCGAAGTACCGACCTGCTCGTTGTGGTTCGGGGTTGTGGAAAAGTGCAGATTGCGGTCAAAACCAACAGCTTGCATGCAAGGGGCATTTAACAAGGCTTGAATCCAAACTCTGCTGTTTTCAGGGTCGCGCCCCGGCGTGCCCCCACTTGTTGTTTGTCAATATGCTCTTCGAGGACGGGGCGAAAAACGGAGCGTACCTGACTGGATCTCATACGCAGGCTTCCGTACAGCGCCAGAGAGAGAATCGATTGGTTGGGTATATCAACGTGCAAGAACGACAGCGGCAGCGTCCAGCCGACAGCAGCACAGCAGTCGCCGCCGCAACAACGACAACGGCAACAATAAAACCGACAGTCACAACAGCAATAGCAGCAACCACAGCAGTTGCGACGATGACAACGACAACAACAACAACATTCGCAACGGTCACAACGACAACAAAAACCACAACGATCACAACAACGACAACGACAACAATAACAACAACAGCAGTCGCGATGATGGCAACGACAGCACTAACAGCGTCGCCGCAACGACACCGACACCGACAACAGCAGCATCAGCAACGACAGCAGCGGTCTGAACAACAGCAACGGCAACAACGACAACACCAATAACAGCAACAGCAGTGGCAACGACAACGACAGCAGCAGTGCACATGCACACACCTTGTCCTTGAGCTCCTTGAGCTTGGCCTCGATGAGGGCGAGGTCTCCGCCCTCGGCGTCGTGCACGAAGAAGTGGCCCCCGTCCGCGATCTCGCAAAGACGGTACTTGTTCAGTTCCTCAGACACCACGAACTCTTTGTCCTGTGCACGAAACACAACAACAGATGATGGAAAAAAAAAAAAAAGGGTACGAAAAAAGGGACGGTCGTTGTTGTGATGCTCAAACAACCGAACAAGCTATGCATACACACAGACACACTGCAGGGCACTGTCACCCACGACGCCAATTATTGATTGCAACGTTGACGGGCGATCAGTCCTCCAGACTTGCGACCAAGGAGCGGTGGACAAATTCCGTCTCGCGTTTGAGGGAACAAAGGGACTAAAGTCGCACAACTGAAACAATGCCGTTTCTCTCGGGTTGACAAAAACAGAGAGAGAGAGAGAGAGAGAGAGCGACTGGTAGCCGTAGTCCTGGTTGTAATTGGCGAAGAGAGCCTGCTTGCCACCATGCACGCGAGGCACCCATCCATTCTCGACGGCAAACACCATCAACAACAACTATAATAGGTCTTGCCCACGGGGCAACGGCCCGCTCGGCCTAGGCCAGGATTCATTGATGGACCAAACACAGCGACCTTGGGTGTATCGGCCTGAAAGACGTCCGTCTGGTTGCTCCAAGACGCGACACTCAAAACCAAACTCGACGCACCGTTGTCCAAGACAGCACAGGCAGAAACGCTCGATACGGGAACCAAAACGACAGTGGGGGAGGTGTCCCAATTCACAGCTTATCAAAAAACGCAAGTAACAACAAAAAAGAAATTCAAGACACGAAAAAAAAAAACAAGAAGCGACCAAGACGACGACGGCGGGCCACATAGGGACATTATAACCGAGGCACACAAACGACCGAACGACCGACCGGAGCTACTACATTAGTCACCTTCATCTCCGCCTCGGTGGGCTCGATCGACCACACCCCGGCCTTTGCGGCCTTCCCGGCCGCCTGGGCGTTCAGCAGCGACTGAGCGCCGCCGCCGGTCCTCTCCAGGGCGTGCGCATCCAGTTTGCCGAGCCCCGCCTGAACAGAGAACAAGAAAAAAAAAAAAAAAACGGTGCAAGGTTGCTACGGCGGTAGCGAGCTCTTGGAGGGCGTGTGCTGTGCAGTACGCGGGAGAAGGCTATCCGTCCGAGATACACCATGTAGCGCAAAACACAACCCTTTCCATCGTTTGGAACGAGCGAGAGGCAACAAAGACCGAGCGCTGTCACTCTTACACAAGCCCCCTACACATGGCGTCACCACGCGGGCCAGGCCAGGCCAGGCCTGGCCAGAACAAAACCCCACAACAAGCCATGTGCATACATATGTAGCACCACATACAACGGGTGCAGGACCGCCGTAAAACATCACCCGCAATACTATATCACTCCATCCGCGAGCCCCCCACGCACCACGGGGTTGCTGCCTATTCAGCAGTCAACACGTTGTCGCCAATTTTGGGGCGGGCAGTTGGCATGTAGCAATCCCTCTCTGCCACCCCTCTCGTTGACCAATAGCGAACGTCGTAACCAGGCCAGAGACCGGGACAGAACACCCCTCCTAAGCACACGACAAGACGCAAGACACGGCCTCACCTCGAGGATGTCGGCGGCGAAGTTCCGCCGCTGCGACCCCGTCCCGCAGAACAGGAAACCGAGGGCGACCCCGTTCTTGTCCATGTCCGTCACGCGGAGCTCGACGTTCCTCTGCATGAGCTTCTCGCGGCTGAAGGCCAGCGCCTCGCGCCCGAACGGGTCTCCGGGGCGTCCGCCTCCCCTGTTGTCGCCTGGGAACCCACCCGCCCAACAGTACGAGGCGCGAACGAAGCAGCAGCAGCAGCAGCAGCAGTGTCAAAAACACAGGTTGGCATGAGTGTCATCCCGCCCAGTTTGTGGTCTGCACCGCGTGGCCTGTGCGACTTGTTTTTGCCTCACTACCGTCCACAAGTAGACGACCAACACACCCAAGTACAGCAGCACAAAGCCGCGTGCTCCAGAGCAACCCCATGCGGCGCAATAGCAGCAAGAAGAAGAACATGGGGCGGCACCTCGGATGCGGAACCGGTTTCCGACATGGCTTTCAATTACCGATCTTTGTTGACAGGACCAACGAGCAAAAAATACCCTTCAGCACCACGAGGTTCGATCCCTCTCCTGTCTTACACACACTTTTTTTAATCAAATCTCTCCCTCTCAAACGCACAATAGCCTTCAGATGAGGCTCGATCCCTCTCATTTTACACTAGTTTCCCTCAAAAGTCTCTGTCTGTCTCTCACGTTCCCTTCCCACCAGCTCTCACAATAGCTGCCAGAGTAGGCTCGATCCCTTTCCTCTCTTCAACACGGTGCATCATCTCAAATCTCTCCCTCTCTCTGTCTCTCTCTCCCTCTCTTTCTGTCTGTCTGTCTGTCTGTCTGTGTCTGTGTGTGTGTCTGTCTCTCACCGGCTCTCGGCGGCTGCGGGCACCGCACTTCCGTCATGGCGAACATGAAGGCGCAGTTCTCCTTCGGCACGAACACCTGTCGCCCGTCCAAGGTCATAATGTTCGCAAACATGGGAGCGTTCAGTCAGTCGCACCCAAACACTTGTGCTGATGCTTGTGTTGACAAAACGGGCTCGAGAATCCCAGTTGTCAGGGCGCGTCGAAATTCAAAACACACAAAAAAAAACGACCAATCAAATCCATGTCCTCTGTCGCATCCTCTCGTCAACACACACCTTGAAACGGCTGCCCCCAAACACGTGCTCCACGATGGCCTTGACGTTGCCCTGACGCACGAGGAAGTTGACGTAGGTCTTTGCCTTCTTGGAGTCCCCGCACAGGTCGGTCAGGCGGTGAGCTCGCGGGGCGGCTGCAAATGTTTGTGTTCGTTGCGACACACACGCGCACGTAGGTTGTGTGCGCGAGCGACAGCGGCGGACGGGCACAGAGAGAGTAAAAGAGTCAGGGAGAACGAAAAATGGTAAGTACAGCAGCAGCAGCAGCAGCAGCAGCAGCAGCAGTGCGAGGTGTGGTACGATGACATGACAGTAAGTCGATAGGCATGAAGGCATTCATCTGATAGTGGGGAGAAGAGCAAAGAGAGAGATACGATTGGCAAGATGCACAAAAATGTTATCCGACAACAACAGCACAACTTGTTCTGCTTGACAAAAGACTTCCGTACCCAAACGTCGCCCCGGGAGCTCGGGGGGGGGGGGTTGCTCACCTCCGGAGTGCATCCCCTTCTTGCCGGCCTTGGCGTTCGCCTCCGCCGCCACGATGGCGTCGTAGTGCTCCGTCCTCGGGTCGTCCTGCCGCAGCCGCGCGACGCCGGCCATGCCCGTCTCCACCATCACCTCCTGCAGCGACTTGGCGTTGCTCCCGACGCTCACCGTCGCGAACGCGCGCTTCACGGGTGCCTCCCCGCTCGTGGTCTGCGGGATGTCCCTCTGGTAGTCCACCACCACCTTGACCTGCTTCCCGATGGCGAGCTTCCGCAGGGCCTCCTTAGACTCGACGGCCCACGGCTCGTCCTCGACCCCGCGCCTGGGGTTCCCCATCCGCGGGGCGCGGATCGAGCTCAGGGCCAGCCGCCTCTCCTGACCCACGGGGCCCCCGGGCACAGTCACGCTCATCTGGTCGCCGCTGTGCACCTGAGGAGATAAAAACAAAAAAACAAAAAAAAACGGAACAGAAAACGACAACATAATATATATTTCGCGCCAGAAGCGGAGAGACAATACTGTACTGGTAGTAAAACAAGGTATGCAATATCCATCGCCATGTGCTGCGGAGAGAAAGATGAAACGGCCAAGGGAAGGGGAGACGACAGCTCGAGCGGTGACAACAGTCTACGCCACAAGATACGACCAAGACAGTACAGGGGCGTTGCTGCAGCCGGCAAGTTGTAGTATCAAGGGGAAATCATACGTCAAGCGCCCCCCCCGCGCACAATTCGTCGCAGCCTCTAGGCTTGAGTGACCTGTGCTTCATCGACTCCCTACGGTCGACACAACCAAACTCCCATTCCCACTGCTGCCGCTGCAAAATACTACCGCCGCCGCTACCACCACCACCACCACTACCCATGTCTCTGCCGCTGCTGCTGCGGTTAAAAAAATCTGCTTCCACAAAAACAAACACAAACACAAACACCAACTCGCCTCCACCACGACGCCGGCGTAGTCCGCGTCGCCGTCGATCTGGGGCGGGGCCCACTCCCGCCATAGCCGCAGCCGCGCTCGCTTGCCCTCATTCTCGGCCTGCCGCATGGCGAGGGCGTCCGAGCGGGACACGTACACGAGGCTCCAGTCCACCATCCGCGCGAGCCCCTGCTTGAGCAGCTCGTGGCGCACGTCCCCCTTGGGGTGGAGCACGGCGCCGTACAGGCTGCCCTGCTTGTCCACCCCTTGCAGAAGGAGGTTCACCTCGCGGTGCAGCAGTCGCACCTGCGTGTGTAAGTTGGGGTGTATGTGGGAGAATCGCTTAGTATTGATTGTTTGTATACGCATGTTTTTCTCGATTCTTTTTTGTTCCAGTGTTGACGGGTGACGCGCCGTGACAAACGGGAGTGTCGGGAATGGGAGGTAGAAAGCAGTAGGGGGGGGGGTAGAACGCAGCAGGGGGCACGCAGATGCCGCCGACATAAAAAAGCCGTCCATAAACTCTTGCCGTTCCTGGCAGCGGCGCCAAAAGCTCCCTGCACGGGTCTTGACCTGGGGACAAGCTACAAGTGCGGCGTACCAAGTTCAATCAGCACGCAGGGGGGTTCCACGAGCTCCCGAGAGACGTTCGCCAGTTTGCCGATTGCTGTGCCCACGAGGGCCTCGTCAAGCTATAATAAATACATTCTTCCCTCTCCTCACCGCCCGCAGCAACCACCACTAACTACAGTGGCCCGCTTCCTTCATCGACTCACCTCCGAGAAAAACTTCGCCTCCGCGGCGTGCGGCTCCGGCTGAGGCGGCGGGGGCGGCGGGGTCGCCGCCCCGTTGCTTCCGTTCGCGGCGGCGGCGTGCCCATTCGACGCCCCCACTCCCCCGCCGCCGCCGCCGGCGACGATCGAAGCGGCCGACATGCCTGCTGTCTTACCGGCAGCGGCGGAGGCGGCGGCGGCGGCCGCGTTAGCCGCGGGCGGGGGGCGGCGCGCCGGCGCGTTCATCCTCGGACACGCGACGCCGGCGAGGCTGAAGGAGATCATGGTCCACGAGTCGTGAAGCAGCGCTCTTTTTTTTTTTTTCCCGCAACAAGTCGAAATAGCGCAGCACGCCGGGGACAAGGGGATACAATGGTGTAGATGAACCATCATCAGCGGGGGTGACAAAGAAAAGGGATGGCGGAGGGGGGGTTTACCTCCAGCACTCAAGGTTCACAGAAAAACACAGCATTTACGAACAGTCATCGACCTCAAGCTTGACGAAGCAGCAGACGTTGCTCTCGAGACCCCACACGCACTCTACCCCACCAACCGGACCGAGCAAATGCAAACCGCACCTGTAGCTGGAGCCATCCCTGAGGTGCTCGATGGTCGCCTTCACGGGCACCCCCTTGTGCGCCGCCAGGATCGCCACCCCGTCCACGTCGGTCCACTTCACCTCGCGGCTCTTTTTTTCGAGTTTTTTTTTCAAAACCATATTTTCGGGAGGCGTGTGTCATGTTCCGAAGCGGGAGGGGGGGGGCAAAAACAGGGTGGAGAATTTCGCTGAGTTACCGCTCGCTCGCTCACTTGAGCTGTGTGGTGATTCTTCCCACATCATTCCCTTCTCGCGGCTCTCTGCTGCCTCTGATCTTCTACAGACGCTTGTACAGCCTGTTCTGCGGAACGGAACCAGCGCAGCACCCCGTCGACTTCTTACTCTACCACCACCGTTATTCTAGCCCCTCGCGTGTCCTGTCAGACGGGGGGACTCTTGAAAACACCGCAGTTCCCGATGTACGTGTAGCACAGACGACGTCGACATCTCTTGTGTCTCGGTTCTCAGTCTGCATCATCCGTCACTGCCTCTCTTCTGTTCCGGCGCCTGCAACCTCCTCCTCCCTGCCATGCACCTCTTCCTCACGGAACACCAACACAAAACGCCCACAGCTTGGGGGTAGGGGTGTCTATACTTCTTCCTACTCTCGGCCTTCGCCGATGTCAAACGCCCATCTCTCTCCTTCAACAGCACGCAAAACACTCCCACGCTCTTACCCCCGCCTCCTGCTTGGCACTGTCGTCAGTGAAGATGCCCAGCTTGTTCGCTTCGGCAGTTTTTCCTAACTCCACCTGTGACAAAAGGTGGCGGCACGTCGTATACCCGAAAAGACGCATTTCGTGACGAAGTAGTTCGGGGGGGGGGGCGACGAGGGGAGGGACGGGGGGGACGACGATCAGCAAAAAAAAGTGAATTTGAAAGAGAAAAAACAACCGGTTCTTGCGAGCTGATTGATTTCTGCGACTCTCGCTACACGTGCCATACGGCCTCCTCACACCAAAATACACACACACCTTTCTTTTTCCCGCATCGAGACTGGCGTATTTTCATTGGCCAGACGGATAAGAGCTTTCGGCGACATAAAAACACACACACACTTTTCTCCCGCACGCACGCCCACGTCTACTACCCACCCCTAGTATAAGGAGACGGGAATCGCTGGCGTAAGGGAAGGAACGCTGAGCATCGTTCGCCGCCCACGCTCAATACACCGGGTCAACGCGATTCCTCCTGTCCCATGTCTCCTCGCTGTCAACACTCCCGTGTACGTAAACGTGGACCTCAGCTCCTACGTGACTTTTGTTTTTGTAGTATAGCTGCAAGCTATAGTGTAATCGGCGATAACCGACAAGCGAAGCAGGTGCTGACCCCCCTCGCCCCTTGCGTGGCTCACCAGCTCTTCGAGCTCGGAGCTCTTGCTGGAAGTGCCCTGGTCCTTAACCCTGGCCCACCCCGCCGCCGCCACGGCCACGGCCAGGCTCTCGCCGTCGAGCTTAACCCAGCCGAAGCTGCGCCCGCTGGCTCCCGCCTGGAACTCGACCTTGAAGGTCACCTGTGGCCCCCAAGAGGTAGTTGAGGATCAGTGGTTATCTACCCTCAGCAGTTTTTTTTCGTTGCAGCAAACACGTTGGATAAAGCCTGCCATTGGGGAAGTTGACTCTGGGTTAGGGTCTGCATATCCCCTCCCTGTTCAATTTCCTCATAAATTTCTCGTGAATTAGACGGCCCTCAGTGACAGCAGTAGTAGGCAGCAGACCAACAGCAGTGGCCGTAGACGCATGCACGCCAGCATGGAAATCCCTGTTTCCGTATCTAACCAACCCGAAAGGTTCGACCAGGCTTTCGGTGGCGTACCGAGACACCGCTGTGTGATCTTATGCTCTGTCCTTGTCTCTCAACTATGGATCCATTTGCTTGTCCAACAACGACGCCATCTTTTGCAGCGTTGAGGTGAAAATTGGCCGCACGAAGAAGCGGCCTACAACAAAAGTCCGGCGGATAAAATGCCGCATACGGTCACAAAGACAGAGGTCTAAAGTAGACGAAAACAACGGATGCCACTGCTTGTATTTAGCACATCACTAGCGCCGCGGATGGTATTCTTTTGGTCCTCGCCCGCGGGGGTGCATGTCGGCGAATCGTTCACGCTATTTCCAAGGTGTTCACTACAAAGCAGTATCTTAAGGTCTCGTATCTCCGGATAGACTACAGCACACGGGTACGCTCAGCACGTGAACCAAGCATGTTCGTCTTGCAGCAAAGCGCTGAACAACAACGATAACAACAGCGCGCTAACAAATCATCCGCGTATCAGCATTACCCCCTTTTGCTTTCTCCCTTGTCACTCCGAAGACAAACGGACCAATGAAACAGCGCCGTCTGGTGTATGTATATGTAATACAATTACATGTAGCCAAATCCTCTCCAGGTACTGCTGACTCCGCTCGTGCTGCAATTTGAGTTTTTTTGTTCCTGGCGTGGCACACGGAACGGCCGTACTACCCAGCCCTAACGACGAGAATGGATAAGCCTCTCCTTTCGCTACGGGCCAGCCTCAGCCTTAGCAGCAGCCTGCAGGATACAGAGGCCTTACACCGCAGGTGCATACATCCACACCAGCGGCGCGGCCGGGAAAACACACACCTGCTTGCCGATGCATTTCTTGCGCAAGAACTCGCGGCTGTCCCAGGCGAACTGTTCATCGGCGATGCCTGGGGCGCGGCCTAGCTTCGGGGCCGAGAGGGAGGCCAGCGAGAGCTGCATCTCGGGGGGAGGTCCATGGGTGCCGGCTCGACCTGCCAACGTGGGGTTGGGGCGGAGAGAGAGGGAGAGGAGAGCGAGAGGGAGAAGCAGGAACAAAAATAAGACATCATGAGAGAGATATCGCGAGAAGAGCGGTCACGGGCATCGGAGAGCTACAGGGCACGCGGGCATGAACTGCCGAACGCACAACCCCCCTTTTTTTCTGCTCATTGTGGATGCATGCTCTCGATGTGCAAGAAGAGCGCCCCGCCACTGCCTCATCTCACGGGCCGTGCTTGGGTGTGTTGTTCATTCAATGCTGTTTGGCTGTTTGGTAAGCAAAGGTACTGGGTGTGTGTTCTACAATCCAAGCGGCGGGCGAGATGAGATGCTCACCGATGAGGAGAACCGTGTCTCCCGACAGGCATGCCTTGACAGTTCCCTGAGACATAGTAGCAGCGAAGCGGGGTCGTGGAAAGAGCTGCAGACGTCCCTTCAAGGCGCGATGGCTTCGACGCAAGCAAAGCTTTTCTGCGAGGTGTGGCGTGTGAAGCACCTAGCGCGGTAGATGCAAGTTACAACAAGTTAGAGCCAGGGGGTCTCTGGCTAGGAATTTGGGGGGGGTCGGGGGGGGAAAAAATACTGGAAAAAATAGGGGTGGGCACGAGGGCTTCTCACAAGCTGGTGTGTGCTCACAATCTCCTGTCGCTCTGGGAGCGTGCTGTTGCGGAGGGTCAGAGCCATGGTGAGTGGACCGTGAGGTACACAGGCAGAATTATTGTGTACGCATGGCTTGAGTGGAACCAGCAAGTGGACTTTGGCGTACGGAGATTGGAGGGATGATGGAAAACACGCCGTGGTTCCCTTGTTTTGTGGGTGTCTCATGGCCATCGATAGAGCGCGCAAGCCGTTGCCCAGCAATAAAAGCGGGGCTGCGTGTAAGGCTTGGAGGCTCGAAGCCATGCCCGCTGTAGGAGGGACTGCTGTTCGTCTGTTGTAGCCGTCTGCAAGTGCTGTGGTTGTGCATTCCGGAGTTCGTCTTGCTATAGACAGAATCTCGCCACGAGACCACCCTGTCCTATAGTGAGGACCTCTGGTCTGAGTAGATGCTTGCCGCCCCGTTGCTGTAGAGGCAATCTGACAAGCACCGATACCCACAAACAACACACACCGTTGGGTTGCCCGAGCTCGATGTCGTGGCGTTTGGTTCCATCGTCTCAAATCTGATGAGTTGCTGCCCTCCCTTGTCTGTGCCACAACGCGGTTTGGCCCTCTGGTTGCGACTGCCTGCCGCCGCTGCTGCTGTCGGTGTGTGGATGGACCAGTCTCTCGTTATCTCGCCCGAGTTCCAGCACATCCTTCGTATCCTCAACACCAACATCGATGGCCGCCGCAAGGTAAGAGAAACAGAGGGAGAAGGAGAGGGAACAAAAAGACACGCCCTGAGGGTGCACACGACACTTTTTTTCATTTGGTGTGTACCTCCATTCCCAACACTAATGATTTGAGTCGCTCTCATTATAGTACGAAGTACTGCTGTGACGACGATCGCCTCCCTCCTGCTGGGTTGGGTGTGCTGTAGCTAGCTGGTTCCTCCGGCCCGAACGAAAAATATGTGGGTGATTCGTAGTTCCTGGCCGTTGTCGCGGCTCTCCAGCGAAGTAGCTTGTCGATGAAAAAGAAGCTGTCACTGCTGTGCGCACATTTAGTAGTTGGTGGGAAGTGTGGACTCAAACACCACAGCAGCAGTCATTCTCCCAGTGCCGCGAGGCGGTGGTGAGAGCAGCAGCAGCAGCAGCACACCAGCTGCAAAACAGTTTGTCGCCGTGCGCCCCCTCATTCACGACTCGTGGTTGTTCGAGTGAATCAAGGGGTAGGGAAACAGCAGAGACAACACACAAAGCTTGAAACAGCAGTGGGTGGAAATCCGCCAAAGGGGTGTGTCGATGTGATGCTGCTGTGCCAAGACATGAAAAAGTCCTCACCGCGCACTTGAATAGCATGTGGTTTGGCCTGTTGTCCGGTGTTTTTTCGTAGGGCAGCGTTGTACGCGCGTATCCGGTCCAATAATGCACACTAGAATCCTCAACTGCCGCTGCTGCTCTGATAAGTTCCACCATGGACCGCGTTGTGGTGTGTACACCGCAGTTCCCCACACGACATCGCAGTGGAGTGAGACCGCTTCCAAGCAAAGATTGTACCGCTATTAACAAGTAGGAGCCAACCTGTTGTCCCTTCCCACGTGAGTGTTCAGTTGAGTCGCATGGAAGACTGTGGCGGCGCCGCGCAAGTTCATTCGTGCTCCCGCCTCCCCCCCCCCGTGCCTCTCGCCTGTGTGTACGCCATCATCTGTTTCTCTTTGTCACACACCGTCCGTGGATGCCAGGTGCAGTACTCGCTGACCTCCATCAGGGGAGTGGGTCGCCGGTTTGCCAACCTTATCTGCAAGAAGGCTGAGGTTGACCCTAACAAGAGGTGGGTGACGGACGCGTTGTGTCGAGCTGGCCGAGCAGCTCATGTAAAATGCTGAGCTGCCCCTTTTTGTTCTGGTTTTGCCTTCTTTTCAAATTTGCGCTCACAACACTTTCGCCGTTTACTCCAACCCGTGGTCACAAAGAAGGGTTCCTATCCCTGAGCCTCCCTACCCACCCCTCCTGCGGTACTCTGTCTTGATGTTTAATGCGAAAAGAGTGTAGCTTGCCTTCCTTGTCTGAGAATATTTTTGTTCGGCGGGTCTTTCGGGGCACCTATTGATGCACTCTGATTGGTGCCCTTCCTCCTTCGCTAGCTCTCTTTCACATGGGCCCAAGGAGATCGACGAAATCCCCCTGCGCGTCCAATCGTACGTAGGAAAGGATCGTTGGAAGGCGGAAGTGTTTTCGGCGGTGCTCGTTTAAGCAAGACTTAAAAGCAGGGAGCTTGAAGGCACCTGTCCGTGGCTTCGGTGTCGAATTAGCACACCGAGGGCTGAAACGCCGGCAATCGGATGAAGAGATGTTGTGTTTTTTCGTGGTTTCTCGCGCATGAATACTCCTTGCATAAGAAAGTACCGACACTCCCACGTGTACCAACGCTGGTATCTATCGACCGATTCATGTTGACGATTTCGTTCTTCTCCCCGCGTCTGTTTTTTTTTCTTGGATGATTTTCCGCCTCCGCGCGCAGGGCCGGAGAGATGACCGCTGACGAGATCGAGAAGCTCGTGGCGATCATCCAGAACCCTCGCCAGTTCAAGATCCCCGACTGGTTCCTCAACAGGCAAAAGGACTGGAAGACTGGCAAGACCACCCAGATCTCGTCCCAGACCATCGACCAGAAGCTCCGAGATGACCTTGAGCGGCTGAAGAAGATCCGGTGAGTGAGAGAGAAGGGCGGACGAAACGAGCGCCCACGCTAATGCGTCGTTGCTGGATCGATCCCCTAGGGTTACTCGCTTTGTTTTGTTGTCAGTGAAGGTGGCCTTAGGGTTGATGGTGGGGAGGCCGTGGTCGTTGTCGGATTTTCATCGTGACGAATTCCGTCTTTAAAGGGTTTTGTTGTTCCTACCCTGTGATTGGTTTCCTCGCCCGACTTTAAGTTGTTCCATTGCGTCACCGACATCCTCGCGGCCGCGGCCGCGCTCTCTCTTGTATCCTCACGCGAGTCGCCATACCTCCGGATAACGTATACCGTGTGCGTGCACTGCCTGGGCGTCTGCTCTAGGTCCTACATCCTATTTCGCCATTTTTTTTCGGATGATTGATTTGCGTGTCGCCGTAGCGTTAATTTGAAGTAGTTTTTTGCAGTTAGCTGCTGTGTTCGAGCATTGTCAGATTTTCTCAACACGTGGCGCTTTACCCGCTTGCCGCCTCTCGCCGTTGCTGTTGCGGTCTTCCCACAGCTCCCACCGTGGTATCCGCCACTACTGGGGCGTGCGCGTGCGTGGCCAGCACACCAAGACCACCGGACGCCGCGGAAAGATCGTGGCGGCAGGTGGCCGGAAGTAAACGACGAGAGAGAGCGATTTCTGGAGAGGATTTTGACGGGTGTCCGCACCATGGGATGGTCGCTGAGCCTCTCCTCTGGTCCTTTTGCTTCTACGGTAGATGGCTTCATTTCATCGAGATGAACCCCCTCTTCCTTTTGTTCGTGCTTTGAGTCTTGTGGCCGCCACGCGGTGGCGGGGCTAGAGTTTCAGCAACAGCGGGGGGGGGGGGGGGGCGGCACGGTTACCCCCAGGAGTGAAATCCAACACGGGAAATTGAAAAATTTAAAAAAAAAAAAAACAACTTAATG